TTAAGGCTATATTTCCCTATATGATAAGAATATGAATATGAAAATAACATGAACTATAACTAACTTCTTAAGAGGTACTACTTAGTCTAAGTGGGGGTATGAGACTCGATTTCTGCATTGCAAAAGTAGGCTTCAAGAGTCATTGTGGTAAGGTTCTCTTATGCTCTGAAGACTTATGAATTATGTATGTATTATATGTGTTATTGGTAAGGATGACTCAACTTGCTACATGTTATGAATATGAATGTTTCGTTGCATACAGTGTTGGCTATGAATGAGGTTAAGGTATGATATGTATGATGTAGGTGATGTAAAAGTGGTACTTGGCATTTGGTATATGGGATCTTGCTTTTGCATTGCACTAGTATAGCTTTGGGTTGCTTATGATATGTTATGATTATGTTATTTCACAAATGTGAATAATGGTTTTTAAACTTGATAATTTATGGTTTTAACTAAATTTTCCTTTTATGCATGTTTTAAGGATTTTTTATGCATGGCTTCCATACATAGTACTTTTGTGCTAACTCATATTTTCTACATTTATTATGAGTGTAGGTTCTGGTCATTGAGACGTACTCCTCCTTTCAAGTGAAGCTTAAGTTAAGTATTCCTTAATCTTGGTGAGTACTCATGGTTCGAGGACAAGATGTTATTCTTTGCTAGTTCTATTGTATTTTCTATTTTTGAGACTTTATTGTAAACGGATTTGACCCTAATTGTATTCTCTATTACACTATATGGTGATTGAGACAAGGTCTAGAGTCTTATATTTTTTTACAAAAAAAAAGTTGACTTCAACTATAAATGTTTTAAATTTTCCGCATCATTTCTATGTCTTGTGTCTATGATTATGCTAAGGGCATGTATGAGACCCATTTGGGTTCGAGTACGCCATGTTATTTCTAAGGGGTAACCCCAGGTCGTGACACTCTCATGCATGAATTGATGAAATACTATGATTTTATGATGATTTTCCCTATGAACTCATGTAATCCCCATGTTTTCAAGTTTTGATCATATGATGTAGGAATTTGACTATAAAAGGAAAAAATTATGAAATTAAACATGTACTGCTAGCTTGGGTTGTATTTTAATATGCTTTCTTGGGGAGCATCTATTTCCCAAAGAGATAAAGGAAGAACATGCAAAAGAGTTTCTTAATCTAAAGCATGAAGTTATGAGTGTGCAAGAGTACAACCTCAAGGTCACTCGGCTATCTCTCTACGCTCTAGAGATGGTGATTGGTATGAGGAGTAGGATACGTTTGTTTGTGTCTAAGATGTCACACTTATCGAGTAAGCAAGGTAAGGCAGCTATGTTGATAGGTGACATAGACATAGCAAAATCATGAGTTCGACTATCATAATACCGGGGATGTAAACCGGTCATACTTTCAACAAAGGTCGTATGGACCTGGTCCATCGTCATTTAGTGTGCCTACACCAAAGAAAAGGAATGATTACAAGAACTAGAAGTCCAATAATTTCAAAGCTCGGATTCTTAGTTGCAAGGCACGCAAGGGTTCACTCATAACTTACTTCGTAATAAGTGTGGTAATCTTCATCAGGGGGAATGTTGTGTTGGTATTGATGTTTGTTATAAGTGTGGTTACTTTTCTAGGGAATTTCCTATATGGAACCAAGGTAATAAGGGCAGCAGGGCCAAACTTCTTTAGCACCAATTGCACCAAAGGGTGCTACTTCAAGAACATGTGAAGGTTCAAACTGTCTGTGTACTATATCTAGTCTCCAGGATCAGGAGAGCTCACAAAATGTCATCACAGGTATGCATAAAGTCATTTTTTTATGTTCTTACTTGATCCATGTGCAAGTTTTTATGATGTGATTCCTTATGTAGCCATGAGATTTGGTGTTTTGCCTGAACAACTTCTTGAGCCCTTTGATGTTTCTACACCTAGGGGTGAAAGAGTCCATCGTGATTGTACCATCTCTTTCAGGTGCCTTCATTCTTAAAAGAGCAGTTCAGATATCAACTTGATAAGTGTTTCATCTGACCAAGTATCTTATCTTTGGACGCTCTGGTCTTACTCGTAAGAAATAAAAATGTTTCCCTTAGAATGTGTATCTATTATCGGCACCTGAACAAGGTCACTGTAGAAAATAAATATGACCTTCCAAGAATAAATTGTATTAATTCTTTTATGGAGCTTTGGTATTGATTTATAGTAAATTGATATTTTTATTTATTTTCTTAATAGAAACATGCCTGAGAAATATCAACTACAAGGATGTATTAAGTTATAATTCACTATACATTTGTAACTTATAATAAAAGTAAAATAAGTATGAAAAGCGTATGTGACTAATAAAACTTCTTTATTAAATCAATCATCTTGACCTCAATACAAACAAGTCAGGATACGATAATTTGTTTGGTAAGGGTAGTGTAGCTAAGTACATAGATGTGATATACCCCAAGAGTGTAATATGGACAATTAATTCTAAGACAATCACTAGTCGTTACATTCACGTTCAGTGGCAGAGCCACATGTAATCAAGGGGTGTCAATTAACACCCCTTTAACGGAAAATTACATTGTTTAGCAAGATAAAAAGAATTTTATGTATACTTATATTGTATATTAACTCCTTATGACTTCTTAGTGAATTTCCATCTTCATATTTTGACACATCTCAATGAAAATTTAGTTCCTTCATTGTCTATGTCGAACATGCTAATTACATATAAATTGCACAGAAATAACTTAAACAATCTGTATTTACTATTTATAAAAAAAAAAAAGTTATACTTTTTATTTCATGTATAATTATTTAATTACTCAAAACTTTAATTTATTAATATTGAAATTATTTTTATAAATGTATTGTCGATAACTTGGGGAGAAATTACTTAGAACAAAAAGAGTGAAGACCTTAGAGTACTCTAGAGGAAAGGAGAGGAGAGTTTCAATTAAAGCATCTACCCTCAAAATATAACAACTTCAAGAGAAAGCATGATGTGAGAAGACAGTAAATTGAGAATATTTGGAGAGTACATAAAAAGAATACATAGCTAACTAAGGTCTCAGTTGCTTGCATTTAATGAAGGTCTGAATTTTAATCAATCAGATTCTCCTCATACAGTGTATTTGTTTCTTAGGATTAAATTTAATTATTTATATTCAGTTAATTGAATCTGTTTGTTTTATTTCCTTATAAGTCTCTTAATAGGTCTGGATATATTTGAATGAATTAGATCTGCAACATACTCTTAACACCATTCAGACTAAAAAATAAAACTCTTATATTAATTCAATTACATCTCAACAACTCATAAAAGTTTTTTCTTATTTAGTTAATGTTAATTACATGTTAACTGTTATAATTTCTTTTATTCTTACTAACTTAATATACGTCTTTTACTTTCATAAATTAGTCAAATATATTTAAATCAATAAGCACTTAACGATATAATATTTAGCACGATTTCAGAAAATAAAAAAGTATCAATTATTTGATCGATAATAATAACAAATGTCCATTATAAAATAAAATATTTTCATATACATTGTATTACTACTCTTTATAGACTATTTTACATTCCATTATATTAGCTAGCGTTTGGTCATAGATATTGAAATATTTTTGGCAAATATTATTTGGATGAAAATTTGGGTGAAATTTTACCATGTGTTTGGCCATAGAATTTGAGAAACATATTTCATTTTTTTAAGAAATATGATTTATACCCATAAGTTTTTTTTGAGAAACATATCATCATTTTCATATTCATTGAATATTCCATCACTACTTTGGTGTTCACGTAAAAAATTATGCAATACACCGCAAGCAATTACTATTTTCACTTGCATGTCACATTCATAGTTGTTCATGCCTTGTCTTAGTATTCTGAATCTACTTTTCCACGCACCAAAAGTTCTTTCAATTACATTGCGCAGAAAAGCATGTCTATAGTTAAATAGCTCTTTTCCATTCTTAGGCTCTCTTTCACTTCCTCGGTAGTCCTACAAATGATAGCGCATTCCTTTGAATGGAGCTAAAAATCCTCTTGTGTTCCGTAGACCAGCATCAATAACGTAATATTTATCTACCAAAATAAAATATTGAGTAAATTTTCTTATATTGAATAAAAATAGAACTACTAATTTATATACCATGTGATGGGAGATAAATGAATTAGTTGGTATTAATAAATATTATTATTTTTGTAAAATAAAAAGTTAAGGGTAAAAATTGAATTTCCAAATAATGGAATTTGTCCCAAATACTAGTTTTTTCTAGTATTTGGGAATTTGGAAAATTTGCCAAAAAAAAATTTGCCAAATAATAGAAATGTGTATGGACAAACAAAATTTGCCAAGTTTTTTCCCAAGTTTGATGTGCAAAATCTATGGCCAAACGGGCCCTTAGATTCTCAAAGTTTTTGAGTGCAAAGAATAGTCATATTAATGATGTAACTTAATGTTAAATTTAGACAAATCATATATCTTGTTACGATAAAGATGTTCAAAATATTATTTTTTTAAAAAAAAAATACTATGTTTACGATAAAAATGTTCAAAATATTATTTTCAAAAAAAATACTATGTTACTAAAATGAGGCTTTTATAATATTTTATTAATATAACATTTAATTTCATATGTACATCCAGATATTGAAAATAAACCGTCCCAATAACCCAGTGTTCAAATTCAAAGATAACATTTTATATTCAAATGTTTATTTAGATTTATACATATCTTAATATTCATATTAAGATGTGTATTCAAATTCAGACGTTTTAATCTTTAATAGAAACAAAAGAGACCTAAGGTTGGACTCGATATGAAATCACAGAAACAGTAACCCAAAGTGGCTCAAACGTCACTCATCCATAGCACTACTTGTCCTGTTACATTATTCACCAAAGCATGAGGTGTGAATGGAGGAGAAGGAAAGGTTCAATAAGAGATTATATTAAACATTATATTAACATAAATTTGACAAGTACAAGCTACAAGCTCGTCAAGCAGCAACTGCAAGACTGGCGCAAAAGAACGCGTTCATTTCTTCAATGTGTTTTTCAAGAGCAAAAGCATTTACACTATGAGAGGATTTACAAGTAACAACACTCAAAATGTACAATCGTGTCATTCTTCTCTGTACTGACCACGAATACAAACTGTGTTGAACCTTTTTCGCTCTGTGGAAGAGCAAACTGACTGAGGCGTTGAACAACAGAAGGGGCGGCAGCAGCTCAACCCCCAGCATTTGGGTACTCAGGACGTGCATTTGTGGTCAAATATCCATCAAAAACACAGATGGTTGGTATTTGTAGTATACAGGAACTATTCACGGATTGCTCCCCACAACCTCCAACAAGGCTTTGCACTCTGGAGCTCACTATTAAAGTGGGCCTTTTAAGGTAACTGATCAGCTTGCACAATTGATAACTTCAGCTTCCCAGTTGGGCCTTGATATACATTGTTCGCACTCTTCAAGAACTCTACCTCCACGTGACCTATATTTATCATATCAGTCATAGCAGGAGGCAATCCCCAATAAAAAACGAGATTGGGCTCGGATGCATCAACGTCAACATACTCTGTTGGGTTGGGGTCACAAAACCCCAGCAACTCCTCCAGCTGCCAACCAAGCAAGGAAGGTTTCTTCAAAATACATACTCCCAACATGAAATAAAAATAATATATAAAATCGAATTACTTGTAAAAGGAGATCGTTTTATGCATTGCCAGACAAACTATGCAGAGACTACCAGAAACTGGGTTATGCATTGCCAGACAAACTATGCAGAGACTACCAGAAACTGGGAAGAAAGAAGATCATGGTCAAGTAACTCTAATCATATATCTAGTATACCATGGGAGAAGTAATGTTAAAAACTTCTCTAATCCACAAGCATCTTGCGATCTACATGTACTGCAATGCTTTATTTAGATAGAAGACTTGATTCATAAACCTTACATATAGATTTCTCAAATAGTCGTCATCATGCACCAAAATAGAGACACAAGAGTGTTTGCTTAAAATGTTGAATTTCATTATCACAGTGATATAATACCTACCATGTTCACAGTACCAGAACGAGTGCGATAGACAAACAAAAACATATCTCGTCATGCATCATTGGAAGTCAACCACATAACATGATCACTTCAATTAACCGCAACATATTGGATTACACAAAATTATATCAGGTTCAAGCATGCGAATTGCCCATACCAAAGATTTGATAGTGTATAACCAGAAATCATAATTACATATCCACAACATATTGGATTATACCAAATCTATCTAGTTTGGCAGGTTTCCAAAGAAAACTTTCAACTTTCAACATTGTGTCACCTTTCCTAATATTCTTTTTTCTAGTTAGAGGTGAAAATATGCAACTAGCCATTTATGATTCATGTTTAACAAAAGCTAAGAGAGTTGAACGACAGAGAAACAATAAGTCAGTTGGCAAGTCACATACTTTGATAATTAGGCAGCGAAAGCGTGATTTGACACAACCCACCCAGTCACCTAGCTCATCTTTATCAGAAGCTGAGAGGAAAATTTTGACAAACTTCTCATATTTTCTTGGATAAGGATAGGGCTCAAACAGGTTATTCCAATCAAAATCTGGCCTTAAAATATCCTGCAGTGAAGATGACATGTAGTGAGTAGGGAAAGGAAGGGGAACAAGAAAGACCAAGCACAAATAAAAGGTGAAAAGGAAGCATTAAAGATTTAATTAGGAAACGGATATATATCAACAAATTAATGCACAAAAGGCACATACCTTAGTCAGTGTATGCCCTCTCAGCAACTCACTCTTGATTATGAAAAATGTACTTCGGACCGTGTTTGAATGACAAAATTGATATGGGCTACACGGTAACTGGATTGGCATCCACAAAACTTTATCCGTGGGAATAAATGGCCAAGCAACTCCATCTTGTAAAATTACTGGAGTCGGCCAAGGCCAAAAGGCAAATGTTTTGAAGAAAATAAAAAAAAGTGCACTCAAGCTGGCTGTTGGATGCCTTTGACAGATGAATGCTGAAAGCACTGCTAGATGAACTCCTCCAAAGAATCCAAGCAACTGCAGGTTATGCTTCATCAATTTTACTTCATGATAATCATGGTGAAATTTTAAAATAGAAAGGCAGATAAAAAGTTCACAATCCTTACATTCCCATAAACTCCTCGTTTCTTTGCCCATAGTTTAACACAACGCAGAACTGCCTGAAATATCTGTAGGATATCACCACAATACAATGTAAGACATGGCAATTCTGACGAATGAGAACCAATTAAGAACCTATAACACACTGACACAACCCAAGAATATCCAAAACCAGAACAGGCTTATTCAACTAAATTCACGGGTAAGTGGATAACGAAAAAATGTCCCAACTACTAGAGTATCTTCAAATAAGTTCTCCACCTACATCATATCTCAAAAATTTGATAATGACTAATTTCTCAACTAAGTAAAAGTTTCTAAGTAACCTCTCTCTTAATTTCAAATGACCATAATCGAACTCATGAAGGACTTTGGCAAGAGTTCAGAACTCAGAATTGTACATCACTACAATCGAAAGCTTTCATATTTAAAAAAGTTAAGTAAACCATACAATAACTATTTAGAAGCATTACTTACCTCTACATTTGGCACAAGTTGAAGAATTCTCCTATTTGCACGAACACCAGACAGACTTTTCCAACTCTTGTCATCAATATTCTTCAAGAAGAACGGATTGAATACATCCACATCCTGGCCATAGCATAGAAAAAGCTAATATGATGTGACACTTCCTTCAGAAATTATATAATATTAGAGAAAGACATTTAAGAAATCATTGTTTTCTTTTGCAAATGAGTTGGTTGAGATGCAGTGACTTATATGGTTTCTCAAACCACTGACAATCAATCACAATAACAATAATATAAGAGTAAACTCACCTCAGGTATGGATATTACTTTTAGTCGTGCATATGGAAGATCAATAGAGATCCCTTCAAATTTGAATCTCATCAGAGGAACCTTCGCACCTTTGACACAGTGAATACCTGATACTTCTGGTCTGCTCGCGAGAATGTTGCGCAGAACAATGAAAAAGTCTTCCTACATGAATCACAAGGATATACCCATCAAAATATGCAAAACCTCAACCAGATTCAAAGAGGCTAATAAGAAAAGGACTCACTTCTATTGTTGCAAAGCACGGTCCAACACATAATGCATCAATATCAGACTCCGAATTATGAACCTGAAAAGAATAGAACAAGTCAAGACGGCGAGGAACCTGCAACTTTGAAAGTATTTTCTGCATCAACTTGCAGCTGTTATATTAAAAGTGGAAGAGAAGTAAACAGTAAAATTGCAATCTCCCGGGGCATGGATTGGTAGTGTTCAGTTACAGGTTAAAATAGAACCACATGTACAAATGTCAGTTTCAATGCTGTATCGCTGAAAGTACATTCCCTCTTAGAAAGACTTTCAACTTGAAACTGCATTTTGCAACAAGAATCCGTCAGTTTGATAACAAGAACACAAATTATTACCCACAGATCTGCCATCATACTACTGCATTCTCCAACCAAACAAAATAGAGGAAACTGTCAAGTAATGAATTAAGACTTACTCCTAGACCATATGATCCATATGTCAATATTGTGCCAGAGGCAAACCTGAGGTATCTTTCTGGAAGAGCGTGATGGTAAGACACTGTCTGGACCCATTCCCTCACTATCTGATAAATGAGAATGAACAAATAATGTAACTGAGTTAATAATTCTTGCCAATTACAGAATTTACATAATGGAAAAACAACTATGCATTTCGATGAGATGTAAACTTTCGGAAATTTATACATCATTAAAGATTATAAAAAAACTTCTAGTACTCATTATTTTTATTTTATACAATATTGGATTGAGATCCGTGAAGATTTATAACCGACCCCAACATGTTTGGGATTGAGGTGTAATTGTCATTGTAGTAGAAACAACAGAAAGAAACTCTATCGAATTTACTATAGCGCAAAGCCAAATCTATTTGGTTGATAAAATTCCAACAGATTTATTAAGGTTATTTAGCTCTATTGTTTTCTTTCCATTTCTTTTTTCTTTGGCACATTTATTTTACTATCTTGTTTTAATCCTTTAACTAGTTCTTTTCCTGCAATATCATGAGTTCCATAAACCTACAAAAAGGATACTTTCTCAATCACCTAAGAAAAATACACACTTCTTCCAATTGATTAATATATTCTCACCTTTTTGAGCTTGTGAATAGCATTTCTCCTCTTCATTTCCTCCTCTAGCGAAGGCACTAACCCTTCAGCGCCCATAATCTGCTTAAAAACAAAGGCAACATTAATCACAAAGTTGAAAAAATTTGATCAACACTTCAAAAAATTTACTAACCTGAAAGAGTGACATTGACCTTTCCATTTCCATTCGTAGAATCGCATCTTGGTTTCCCCCAAAACCCAAAACCCCACCAGGATGGGGTACCTGATAATCAAGATTCAAGTTTGGACGCAACCCAATTGACCATCTGGGTAGATATGTATACACATGTCGAGGATCAACCAATTGTTGCCTTTCAATATACCCAAATTCCATGCACAAATGTTCAATTGGAATTCAGGAAGATGAAGTATGAAAAGGTTAAGGGAAAAGAAACAAACAAAAAACCCTTATTAGAGAGGAAGAGGAAAAGGGTTTAGTAAGGGGGAAAATATGAAGAAAGGATTATGGTGATCTGTATATGAAAACAGGAGAAAGAAGGAAGAATTGTTTGGTGTGTGTGGTTAGAGGTGGAAAACGTGTTAAAATGCGCAAAGTGTCACCATTTCAAATATTGACACCTGTATTCTATGTCACACCTCATCTAATCCAAATTTTATTTTAGGGTTTGTTCAAATTGATGTAATAACTCTCTTTGTTCCTTATTTATAAGTAGTTAGGGTTGTGCGTAATTCGGTTTGTATCAGTTATTAATTAAAATTTAAATTTAAATTAATTTAATTTTTTTTTAAAATTTGTAAAACCAAATAAAAAAAAAATTAGTTTAGTTATTGTCGGTTTGATTTAGTTTTATGATTTTTCTGATTTATTTGGTTTGAAAGTAATATTTTGAGGACTTACGTCGATAGACACAAACGTCTAAAACATGAACAATATAGAAATGTTATTGTCAATTCAATTAACCAATACTAGAATTATCATTACATGAACAAAATGTTTCAATTAGGAGATAATGTGGACTATTTTATGTTATGTATTGTAGGTAAACACTAAAATTGATTTTAATGGACTTGGACTTAATATTGTTATAGTTGGGCTAAAGTGTTGACCTGAGAAAATTGTAAAATTAAAGACTTAAATTAATTAAAATTTATAAATATTTATATTTCATTTGTGAAACACAATATACAAATAATTATAAAATTCTATATATCTAAATTGTCGGTTTGATTTAGTTATTTTTGCGGTTTTTTCAAGTAAAACTAAAATCAAATCAAATAATATCGATTTTTCAAAATTTAAAATCTAACCAAACCCAACGAAGTATCGATTTTTTGAATCGATTTGGTTTAGATTGCGGTTCGGTTTGGTCTTTTAACCATAGCATGAACAACCTTATATGTAGTCACTATTCTCTCCGTCTCATTTTATATGTCATTCCTTTCTATAAATAGTTAATTGATAATACTTGTTATTTGATAAAATCAATGCATAAATTACCATATTCTTCTTTTTTTTTTATCCTTGTGAGTTATTAGCCTTGAAAATATATATTTGACCAACTTAAGAAAAGTTAAGTAAATTTTTCATGTTCATTGGTAAATTAATTAATCAAAATAAATTAATTCATATTCATTGATTGAAAACTTGAGCTCGAAAAAATTAAATAAGGGTAGAAGAATAAAGTTACATCATTTCTTAATAAGTGCAAAGTAAAAAGGTGACATATAAAATGGAATACTAAAATTAGATGTTCTTTAATATTTTCTTCATTTACTTTTAGTTGTTATTTATTTTTAATATAGATTTCTACTTTTACTTGTCAATATTGACATATCAAAAGCGACAATTTTTCTTTTCATATTTTGCCCCTCGGCATTAAATATTTACTCCCCAAATCATTTTCAAGATCAAATATTACATCATTTATTAGGAAAAAATACATATATCAATAATTATTTTTTTAATGAATATGTCAAGTCAAACAGTCACAAGTAAAAATAAACAAAGGAAGTATTTGTCATTACACAAAATCAATATATAAATAACAGGAAAAATACTAGATAACTAGACATACTTAAACGCCACATATGCATACTTTATCTTCTAGTTTAAAAATTGCTCATCATATCACTTTTGAATAATTATACCATGTATTTTAAAAAGTTAAATCAAATACACAAATTCCTTGAATATGATACTGAATAATTATCTTAAACTATAATCTCTATAATTAATGGACATTAACAATTCAAAATTTCTCTCCCATCACACTAGTCATTTTTCTCCCCCAATCTCATTTTCGATATGTATCTCACCCCACCCACGTAATTCACACACATCCATCTTCTCAACTTCTTCCCCACCATAATACATGTTTGGATGTACTAAAGCAATAACTAATTCTGGATGATTAGCAATATACAAAAAAGTAAGATTTGTTTAGTTTTTTGCTAATATTCAAATGTATTTGGAAAATTTCACCACTATGTATTTGAGTTAGAGTTTCAATTTTTCAAAATTCGATATTAGATTTTATATTGTTCGAAGTGTCTTTATTCATAGAGCAATGTCTCACAATGTTACGATCCAATTAGATTTTACAATTTTTCTCCAATTAAGAAAAGTTTAGGATTAGTCATTCGACTACAACATGAAGGAATAATGACAACTCTAATAAATGATTGACAAATATGACGACTCTAAGATTATAAAATAGAAAAAATAACAATTTAATAAATCTCTTATCGAGTGAAGCAACGTAGGGCTACTAGATGCTACCAAATCACACTCTCTACTTAATGAAATGCTTGTCAATACCACTTGAGTTCTTTGTAAAGACGTAAGCTCAACAAGTAATAAAACTAAACCAAAATCACTTTAATGAGGGATAAGTCAAAAAATATGTTAGTATGATAATAAAAATGATGAATCAATGTGCCCTTTCAGAAATGATAACAATAATCAATCTTATTTGTCTAATATAAGCAAAATCAATGTGAATTTTTAGTAATAAACTTAGAAAAAAATTCATAGCAAATCTCATATTTGGGAGGTTTTCAAGGATGAATCATGTAATAGTTTGACCTTCTTCTTTAAGAAGTGACCAATGACAGTGAACTCCTCATAGATGAGTTAAACAGTCATTCGGTAGATCCCTACTCAAGGGATGCCGATAAAAGTATGTTAGTTTTATCTTTCCACTAGCAAAGCCTATAGAGGTAATATGTAACTACAAGATATATCAGGTCTAACGAACCTGCTATTAGCTATAGGATTCGTCAAGGTCTATTCTCATTTATACTTTTTTATAATCAGTAAAAATATTTCAATTTTTTTAAAGACATTTAAGATCTTATCGAATCATACTTTATGAAATTTTAACCAAAAACATATGTCAAAATATTAATTTTTCAAGTAAAATGTTGAACTCTTTCGATAAATTATTCACTTTATAAATCATAAAAGTTATAAGACACAAATTATGATAAGATTATTACTCATAGTACTCATGTTGAAATGTCGAACTTGTCGCCTCAAATAATCTGTAACGCTTACTTCAATCAATCTCTTTAATCATATCATAATAACATTGTGTTAACTTCTTCATTTATGATACTCCATTGTACATTAAAATACCCAGCCTTTGAGGTACCATAAATGACTCCAAATCTTCCATATCGCCTAACTGGTACAAGACATCCTCATCTTGATTACTTTCACATTGTAATTAACCAACATAAGCTTATTGTCCTACTTTTCTTTCATCTATGCTAAAATAGAAAAACTTTATTCAGTCATTTAACGTACGCATTCAAATGTTAAACATGATATGGAGTTAAGTATGTCCTCTACCGAAAAAGATATGACATTTATGATCCTTGCAAAGGAATGGACAAGCAGAAACCCAAGAGACAGAGCAAATGTTTGCCCAAAAATTACAATAAAGAATTCATGAATGTCAATGTGTGCGTCTATGAAGTTCACAATTAGTGTTGACAATTTAAGCCCATTTTCACTGATCCGTCCAAATAGCCCTTCAAATATGGGTTGAAAGAGTGATTTTAAATATGAATAATATTTGAAATTATATCCATATTTTACCCATTAAAATATGAGTATATTATGGATAAACTACGGGTCAAATATGAGTATTGCAAGTTTTCTCCAAATTTTCAAAAAATCTTCTGTTACCAAGTTTTAAAAGCGAATTTTCAAAACTTTCATGTACGGGTCCCTATTAATATTTCAACTCTCGACCTCCACCCCCCGCTTCTCAAAAAGAAAAATTAAAGCTTATTTTTAAAAAATATTTTGAACTTCAAAATTTCATTTTTTTCACCCCTACCCTCGATCCCCCCTCCAACTGACCCCACACCAGCCCTTTCACCCCCCAACGCAAAAAAATAAAAATTTAAGTTTATATTAAATAATGTTTTCAACTTCAAAATCTCGTTTTTTCATCTCCATCGTCCCCTCATCACCCCCACCTCCATCCAAAAAAATTAAGTTTGTTTAAAAAAATCCAACTTCAAATATTTATTTTTTCACCCTATCCTGGACCCACCCTAACCATCATCCCCACCCCACCCCTACCCCCAACCAACCCTCATCCTTCAAAAATATTGAGTCTGTTTAAAAAATATTTTAAACTTCAATTTTTTTTCACCCTACCCTGGATCCCCCCCTCCACAACCCCGAAATTTCTTTTAAAGTGTTTTTTTTTATACTTTTATTATAAAATAAAACTAAATGAAGCATTTTCATTTTTCAACAGATTTCATAAAAAAAAAAGACTAAAAATATTTTCTCCATATTGAATTCTTAAGTAAAGAACTATTTATTCATTAAATATGGGTAAAATATGGATAAATTAGTATTTTTACCCATTTTCAACCCATTTATTACCCAACTCATTTTTACCCATAACAAATATGGACGGATTGAATGATTACCCATTTTATGTTTACCCATTTTCAACCCGCCCACATTTGATCCAACCCACCCATTTGCCACCACTATTCACAATGAAGGAAATCAAGAAGTAAAGTGTGAAAACCAATTTTCAAGCGATGGTTAATCTCTTGCTATATAATCGACATCATCAACTTCTCTGGTCTTCTTCGATGGATCACAGTTAACTTATATTCGATTGCTAAATTTTATCCACTGCCTTCCTTTGCCATCTATTTGTCATGTCGGTACTACGGAGTTTCACTACGTACGCCTGGCCCTTGGGTTACTATCATGCGCCATATCGAGAATAATTTCTTTTTGCTTTCTTGAAATAAAAATTGCATTAAAGGGCACTTTTGTTATTTAGGTATTGAGTTATCAAAAAAGAACCTATATTAACTTATATATTTAGAAATTACATATAAAATATCACAAATACAATGATTAACAACTTACAATATTTTTATAAAACATATACAAATTTACAATCAAATAAAATATCACCGACTATTTAAATTTTATTTATGCCACATAAATTAAATTAAAGAAAGTAAATAAAATTGCAATAATTTATATTTTTGTATGTTGAAAGTATTATA